GTTCCTGGAAGGCTGTCCCTCACACTGGCTCATTCCTTACTCAGCTGAGGTACCAGTCAGACTGGGAGCAAGGGAAACACCACCAAGACACACTTCCTTCCATCTCAAGGCTCATATTCTAGCAAACTGTTCATCTAATGAATCATTTTAATTTTCTTTGCTCCTGGTATCTACTGCCTCTTGTCAAAACACGACACTAGACACACTCAGGCCCAGGCAACACAGATATTAGGAAAAAATTCTTCCCAAAGAGAGTGGTGAGGCCTTGGAACAGGCTGCCCAGGGAGGTGGTGGAGGCACAATCCCTGGACATGTTAAAAAAAATGGGTAAACATGGTGTTTCAGGAGATAGTTTAGTGGCTGGGGGTTGTAGGGTTGGTTGGACTTAATGATCTTGAAGGTCTTTTCCAACCTTGATGATTCTATTATTCTGTGAACCAACAGAGCCACAACTCACACATAACCATGAAATGAGTTGAGTGGGAGGGACCTCAAAGCCCACCCAGTGCCACCCCTGCATGGGCAGGGACACCTCCCAGCAGCCCAGGCTGCTCCAAGCCCCATCTAACCTGCCCTTCAACACTGCCAGGGATGGAGCAGCCACAGCTTCCCTGGGCAACCTGGGCCAGGGGCTCCCCACCCTCACACTGAGGACTCTCTGCTCAGCTCTTCCTCCTCAATCCAACTCCAGACTTGCAGAAAAGTAACACAATAGCTTATTTTAAAGGTTTGATTAGATTTGTTGCTAAGAGCTAATGGGTCCAGGTCAATAAAAACTCTGAAGCAAGGTCTTTATTTTCCTGTTCAGGTGAGAAGCCCCTGGCTGGAGCAGCGTCCTGTGACACCCAGGCCAGGCACCACCTCAGCCTTGAGGAACAGCAGAGTCTGATCTCCTCCCACATCCTAAGGAATGGAACATTCCCTGGGTTTCCAACACCTTTGGAATGACACTTAACCTCACACACTCAAGACTCGAACACTCTCGTTCCCAGCATTAACCTGGCAAACCTCCAAACCTAATGAAGTCCTAATTAAGCACAGATGAGGTAGGAAACACAGCGAGAGCTCTTTGTGTTGCTCCCAATCATTAGCATCAGTATTTGTGAATCCAAAAAAGCGATACCATGAAAGACAAGTTCGTCAGGGAGCACAGGCAGACCCTTAGAGCACCCCAGAGCAGCTCTAAAATTAAATTTATTCATGAGAAACCCAGTATTTTCTATTAAAATAATGAGAGAAAAAAAAAAAGCAGAAACCAAACTCAATGTCCTGCTGTGCCACCAACAGTGTGTCCAACCCGGGACTCCACGAGCACCTGATGGCACCAGGAGGGCGCAGAAAAACCTGGCCACCCTCCTGGCACCTCCCCAGCATCCATAATTATATGAGAGGCTACCTCCCCTATGGCTTGACAATTAAGAGAGTTCATATTTCCATTTTACACAGTTCCATAGCTGGCCAAAAATACAAAGGGCTGGTCCAAGAATGGCTGAAGAGAGAGCCCCAGTGAAGCACCTCGAGTTCTTCTAAGGTTCACTCAGAGAACATCAACAAGCCTCTGAAATGAGTGCTCTGCCTTCTCAAAACAGCAGCAGCCCATCCAGGAAAGCTCCAAAGAACACAAAAAAAAAATCTCACAAACAACAATACTGCGGGGATCCTTTCCTGAATGCATAAGAGAAGAAATAGGAAACATAAAAGCCACCACCACCCCCTGGGCACCAAGCCTGTTTTGTCGGGAACGGTGACCAGCAGCTCACAGACTCACGTCAGGCCACAAAGCTTTGGGAGGGAAACCCCTCGGCTAAATATTTGTTTTAAAAAGCCCCAGGACTGAGAGAGGCCTGTTCTGTGTGCGTGTGTTCGCAACCTAACCAACAACCCCAAGAAAGCGAGGTGCGCGGATCCCGGCACCCTGAAACGCATTCCCCACGGACCAGGGCTGGGATAAATCCCACGCCAGACACCGGGAAGACCCCGCACCCCCCACCGCGGGGACCCCGACAGGCTCCGACAGGGGGAAGGCCCGACTGAGGCGGAGCAAACCCCCCCTCTGCTGCACCACGGATGCCGAGGGCGGAAAACAGAGTCACCCCCCTTCCCCCACGGGAACAGCAGGACGGCCTCCCGCGGGCGGCGGGGACACCTGGGACTGGTGTTGTCACCACTGCCTGGGCCACAGACCCAAACCCCAGCAGGACACGGGACAGCACAGAGCAGAGAGGCCTCAGGGCTGGCAGGGACCCCTGGAGACCCCCCCTCCCAGCCCCCAGGGCAGGGTCACCCCCAGCAGGTCCCACAGGAGCCTCCAGAGGGGCTGGGGTGTCTCCAGAGAAGGAGCCTCCACAGCCTCTCTGGGCAGCCTGGCCCAGGGCTCTGCCACCCTCCCAGGCAACAAGTTCCTCCTCCTGGGGAGCTTGACCCTCCTGTGCTCCAGCTTGTGCCCATGGCCCCTTGGCCTGTCCCTGGGCAGCCCTGAGCAGAGTCTGGTCCCCCCCTGCTGACCCCCTGCAGATCCTGCTCAGCCTTGAGGAGACCCCCCCTCAGGCTCCTCCTCTCCAGCTGAACAGCCCCAGCTCCCTCAGCCTTTCCTCCCAGGCAGATGCTCCAGCCCCTCAGCACCTTGGGGGCCCTGCCCTGGACTCTCTCCAGCAGCTCCTTGGCCTTCAGCCCCTGGGCAGCCCAGAGCTGGGCCCAGCTCTCCAGAGGTGTCCCCCCCAGGGCAGAGCAGAGGGGCAGCACAACCTCCCTGACCTGCTGCCCACACTCTTCTTGCTCCCCCCAGGAGCCCAGGGCCCTTCTTGGCCCCCAGGGCCCATTGCTGGCTCATGGTCACAGCCCCAGGTCCCTCAGCCTTTCCTCCCAGGCAGATGCTCCAGCCCCTCAGCACCTTGGGGGCCCTGCCCTGGACTCTCCAAGACTGGGGGGACACTCCTGGCAGGGGAGAAGCTGTTGCTGCTTCCAGACTGACCAATCCTGCGGGGAAAGGCTGTGCTGGAATGTGCCAGGGGGGCTAAAAGTGAGGCTGTCAGGGGGGTCCTTGGTCCTTACGTGTGCACCCAGAGCTCAGAGCTTCCATCACCTGCTGTGCAAACCTGGAGATTTAGTTTGAAAGCAAATCCAGGATGTGCCAGCTGAGACCTGCTGAGGTGGAACCTCAGCATGGGTCTGAATTTGTCCCTAGTCTGTCCCTTTGATGCTTCATTCTTTTTTGGGGTGTCCAGTCTCTTGAGTCCAAATTTAAATGCAAAGGGAACGTGAAACAGCCCAGCAGGGCTAAGCTCTTCCATGGGGGTGCGAGACCACTGAGAGAAGGCCCCCAAAAGGCAGTACTTCCCAGGGGGTGGTTCTGCTACAGAGGAAATGCCTTAGGAATCATGGAATCCCAGATGGTTTGGGGTGGAGGGACCTCAAAGCCCACCCAGTCCCACCCTTGCATGGGCAGGGACACCTCCCAGCAGCCCAGGCTGCTCCAAGCCCCATCCAACCTGCCCTTCAACACCCCCAGGGATGGGGCAGCCACAGCTTCCCTGGGCAACCTGGGCCAGGGGCTCCCCACCCTCACAGCCCAGAATTTCTCCCTCCCATCTCAGCTCCAGCTCCCTCTGCCAGCTGGAAACCCTTCCCCCTGCTCCCATCCCTCCCTGCCCTTGTCCCAAGTCCCTCCCCAGCTTTCCTGGAGCCCCTTCAGGCCCTGGAAGCTGCTCTAAGGTGTCCCTGGAGCCTTCTCTTCTCCAGGCTCAACACCCCAGCTCTCCCAGCCTGGCTCCAGCCGTGATGATCCTGGGATTCTGTCTCTTACTCCGACTGGAAGAGGGACCAAGGAACACCCAAGCACTGCGCTCAGCGGAGCCCCCGAGGAGCCGAGAGCTGCTCTCAGGGGCTTTATTGATTTGTCACTCGCACGGTTGGCACAGCAGAGCACAGCTGGGCAGGGCACAGGCTGACAGCTCGGCACAGCCCGCCCGGCACCACGCAAGCACCACAAAGCACAGGCAGCAGAACCGGGCAGCACCACGGGGAGAGCCCGGGACAGGGCGGGACACAGCCTGGGACAGGCAGGGACACAGCCCGGGACAGGCAGGGACACAGCCCGGGACAGAGCCAGGGACAGAGCAGAGCACACGCAGCTGGTTCCACCCGCAGCAGCTCGGCACGGAGTTCAGCACACAAGTCATTCCTATTTGCACATTTCCCCAAGTGAACCCCACTCGGATGAGTTGCCCCTTTCTCCAGGCTGATGAGTGAAGTTCCAACCATCCCAGGAGAGAAAGGGAAGGAAGAGCCATCAGGGTCTTTCTCCTGAAAGATGCAGTTGGTTTTGGAAGGCTGTAGGACAGTCTGGGGGAGAAGAAGGCTTCTCTTCAGCACCAGTGAGGGTTCTGCTGATCCGCATGTTGGGATCCAGCTGGTGAGTTTGGAGTTCTAGGATTTCTTCTCACAAAGTCCCCTCCTCAGCTTACACCAAGAGGTGCAGTTCCAGTCTCAAGGCATCCCCCTGCTTCAGCTCTGCTGGGGACACCTTCACAAATGAGGAGAAGCTGGATGTGAAGACTGGGATGTGGCAGGTGGGAAACTGCACCAGAACTTCCCAAGCCTGCTCCCCTCCTCCCCTCTGCCAGGATCACCAGCTGGCAAAGAGGGAAAAAACAGCTCTGGGACCTGCAGGGAAAAAAAAAAAAAAGCTTCTGATTCCCACAGGCAGCCTGTACCAGTCTGGGGGATTCCTGCTCCAGCTTTGCACCTTCCCAGCCTCAGGAATGGGGTGGAGGGGGCACAGCCCACCCCGCCCAGCTCCTCCAGGAGCAGGACACAATTCCCGCTGGGAGCATCTCTCCTGGCTGCTGGTGACCCCCCCAGCTCTGTTCCTTTGGACTCCACAGACACCTCTCCAGGGCTGCAGAGGTTCTGCTGGTCCTGCTGGAGCCGGGTGGCTCCGGAGCTGCTCAGCTCCCAGCCCAGCCCGTCCCTGCGGAGCCGCGGGTCCCGCTGCCGGGGGCTCACACGGGCGGGGAGCGGTGCTTGTGGAAGGCACTCTCCAGGAAGTTGGCCAGCTTCTCACAGTCGTCCTGCAAGGAGGAACACCAGGGGATCACTCGGGATTGGTGGCCTCGGCCATCTCCTTCCTCAGAGACTTCACCCCGAGCCACCTGGTTCACCTCTGGGGTTTGATAGGGGAAGAGAGCACGAGCACCCCCAGGACGTGCCAATAATGGTGATGTTTGCTGAGTAACACCCTTCAGGAACAGAGCCTTTTCACAGAACCAAGGGATGTGTTGGGTGGGAGGGACACCCAGTGCCACCCCTGCATGGGCAGGGACACCTCCCACCAGCTCAGGCTGCTCCAAGCACCATCCAACCTGGGTATGTTTTGTCTCAAGAGAAAGACAAAAGAGCAGGCAGCTCAATCTGAAGGAACACAACAGGTCTGGCTTCACATCTAATTAACTTAAGTAACTGAGCACTGAGCTAAGGTTATTTTCCACAGCCATCAGTTTTCTAACAGCCTCCCTGCTAACAGAGACAAAAACCATCCATCTTGGACTGGCAGTTACTTGGCACCTAAATCTCTTTCCTGACACACTCAGGTGTAGGTGGTTTCTAACATAATTGGGATGTTTTACTCCTTAAAGTGGGATATTACTGAAATACCCAATGATTTGTAAAGGATGCAAAACAAACACCCCCACCTTGTATCATGGGGGGAGTTGTGGGATTGCTGGAAACAAACTCAAAATTCTCACTCAAATGGAAAATGTAGAATTAGCTGTTGCTGCTCAGAGCTGCCCCAGTGTCACCACTGCTGCTGAATGGCAACTTCTCAGGAAAAAAATGTGGATTTTGAAGGATTTGTCAGGCAGAGGTGGTATCTTTTAAGTATTTTTAGATAAATACTACAACAACAGTTGGAAAACCAGATAGGAACACAAGTGCTTCAGGTCAGAGATGAGCAGGGTCCCTCCCAGCTGAATCCAGGCCAAGGACGTGTGAGAACACGTGTGAAAAGGAGGTTTTCTCCCAGGAGCAGGGAAGGGAAAAGGGGAGAGAGAAAAGGGAAAGCACAGCCCCTGGAATACAGGCCTGTGGGAGGTGACCCCCATCCCTGGCAGTGCTGAAGGGGAGGTTGGATGGGGCTTGGAGCAGCCTGGGCTGGATGGGACTTTAAGGTCCCCCCAGCCCAGCCCATTCCATGATTCCATGATCCTGTGAGTGAAACGTGGAGGGAGGACAACCCACCACCCAGGCTGGGTGGTCCCTCACTGCAGGGTCTCTGTGCCTGCCCACCGGCTTCAGGGGGGGTGGAGGAGCCCCCTCTGCTCCACAAGGGGCCCCAGGGGGTTGGTGCACACAGGACTGAAGAGAGGGGTGGCAGCAGGATTACCTCATGGATGAAGCCATAGTGCACCAGCTCTGTGGCCAAGTCCTTGGAGTTATCAGCTGCAGAGACAAGGTGAGGAGATGAAAGCTCACACATCCCTGGTTGCTCCTCCTGCAGAGCCCCTTCCCCCCCCCCCTTGGTCAGTGGAATTGCTAATTAACCCTGGGGCAAACAGGGCCCAGAGGGGCAGGTGAGGGAGGCAGGGAGGAGCCCCAGGCCCATGGTACAGAGCACACAGTCCTGACCAAGGGTCACACTGAGACCTTTTGCTTGTTTTGGCCCCGCACGGAAACCTGGAGGCAGAAAAGCAGAGGAGCTGGTGGAGCAGCAACCCCCCAGCTCAGGTTTCCAAGCTTTTTGGGTGTCAGGCAGGGGGGGCTCCAGCTGCACGGCCTCCAGAATGGAGGGAAGAACCCACTGGTGTCCCCCAAGGAATTGCACATGTCCCAGGCTGGACTGCCTGATCCTGAGGGCTCCCAACCCTCCTCTCAGAGGGCAGGTCACTGCCACGGGCCGGAGCCCTGGGTGGGCAAGAAAGGGCACCAAGCAGACACAGGGGGTTTCTTCTGCTCTCCCAGAGGAGCAGGAAAGAGGAGCTGGCTGCAAACACAGCCCGTGTCCCACACAAGCTGAGCCTGCCCCCAGAGGGCCCCAGCACAACACACACACATGGGGACCTGCGGGGGAACCTACTGGGCAGCAGGTCGTAGCTGAGCTGTCGGTGCAGCTTGTCCTCCAGGATCAGCAGCAGGGTGAGCTGCAGAGAGAAGAGAGGGCTCTGTCCCAGCACCAGGGGCTCGGGGAGAAAAGCTGCTGACAGCTCCAGCAGCTGCTGGCAGCTCTGAGCAGGGGGGATCAACAGTCTCCTGGGGTGCATCAGGTCCAGGGAGGTTTCTCCTCCCCCTCTGCTCTGCCCTGGTGAGACCACATCTGGAGTTTGTGTCCAGTTCTGGGCTCCCCGGTGCCAGAGGGACAGGGAGATGATGGGAAGAGTCCAAGGGAGGCTACAAGGATGATGGGCTGGAACATCTGTCATACAGGGAAAGGCTGAGGGACCTGAGGCTGTTCAGTGAGGAGAAGACTGAGAGGGAACCTGATCAATGTCTCTCAATATCTGAGGGAGGTGTCAGGAATGGGCCAGTCTCTGTTCAGTGGTGCCTGTGACAGGACAAAGGGCAATGGATGCAAACTGGAACACAGGAAGTTCCACCTCAACATGAGGAGAAACTTCTTTCCTGTGAGGGTGACAGAGCCCTGGGACAGGCTGCCCAGGGAGCCTGTGGAGTCTCCTTTTTTTGAGACTTCCAAGCCCCACCTGGACACGTTCCTGTGGGACCTGCCCCAGGTGTTCCTGCTGCAGCAGGGGGCTTGGACTCGAGGACCTTCAGAGGTCCCTTCCAACCCCTGTGGTTCTATGATTCTGTGAACTGCTGGAGGTCTCTGGTGGATAGAGCCTCAGAGGAGTGTCCTCCCAGCAGCTGCAGCTACCCTGCAATGGGAACACTAGAAAGCAGTTAAGAGGAGTCCTGCTAAAGATATCAAGGTCCTCCTGCCCTGCAGCTATGGGGGGCTCGTGGCTTTGCTCTTGTCGGGGATTCTTTTACTGCCAAGGGACAAGAGTCAGTCCTTTGGGTACTGCAGCAAGGCAGCTGGGACCAGACTCCTCAAGGTGGGCACTGGGAGCAGGTCTTGGCCGAGCACCTCGTGTGGGACAGGAGCTCAATACTCACGTGCCACTGGGTCTTGTCCTCGTTCAGCTCCATGTTACACTGCATCTGCACCACCTGGAGGAGCCCAAACAAACCATCAGGATGGCCCCCTGGTTCCCCCAAGCATGCTTTTCTTCTGCTCTCCAAGCATGACCCTCAAATTCCTACTTAAGACCCCTTCATTCCAGCGTCAGCCTGACCAGCCTGGCTAGAAAGATTCAGGTGTTGTGGTGGGCAGCAGGCAGGACCTGAGCTGCAACGAAGATCATCCAGTTCCTACCCCTGCCATGGGCAGGGACACCTCCCAAGCAATGGTGGGTGTTCTGAAGTCCCCCAGCACAGGAAGGACACGGAGATGCTGGAGGCCAGAGGAGACTCTGGAGATGCTGGGACGGCTGGGGCAGCTCTGGAGCCAGGCTGGGAGATTTGGGGTGTTCATCCTGGAGAAGAGAAGGCTCCAGGGAGACCTGAGAGCAGCTTCCAGGGCCTGAAGGGGCTCCAGGAAAGCTGGGGAGGGGCTTAGGACAAGGGCAGGGAGGGATGGGAGCAGGGGGAAGGGTTTCCAGCTGGCAGAGGGAGCTGGAGCTGAGATGGGAGGGAGAAATTCTGGGCTGTGAGGGTGGGGAGCCCCTGGCCCAGGTTGCCCAGGGAAGCTGTGGCTGCCCCATCCCTGGGGGTGTTGAAGGGCAGGTTGGATGGGGCTTGGAGCAGCCTGGGCTGCTGGGAGGTGTCCCTGCCCATGCAGGGGGGCACTGGGTGGGCTTTAGGGTCCCCCCAACCCAAACCTGTCTGGGACTGGATGACTTCAAGCCTCCAGCCCAACACCAGGCTCAGCACAGGCCGTGCTCCAGAGCTGCCTGTGGACGTGTGGGGAGGGAAGGCAGAGCCAAAGGATGGGGGGCAATGTGGCTGCTCCAGGTGGTCTCAGGTGAAATGGACCTCACTGGTCCAGACACAGGAACTGCTGCAGTCCTGGAGCAACCAGGCAGCCTGGAGAACAGCTCCCACCTGCCTGGGATTCAGTGCCTGGCTGCAAGGCAGGCATGCCTGCCCCCAGATGTTGGGAATGGAGACCATCCACCTACTCCCAGTGGAGAACCTGTCCCCACCTGGATCTGCCCTTACCTTCCTGGTCTCCACATCAAAGGGCTCTGGGGTGGGAGTCTTGGCTTTCTGAGGGTCCTCTGGGGGCTGGGAGAGGGCACGTGGGAGGGCGTGAGGTCTGGAAACGGCGAAGTTCATCAGAGGATAAATCCCATTCCTGGCACAGACAAAGAGGGAGGACAGATAGCTGAGACCTGTTCCACCACTGCCCCAGCAGGGTCAGCTGGGGAGGCCACAGCTCCCCAGGGATCTGCAGCCAGGGATCTGCACCCCGGGAGTGGCAGCACCAACAGGCAGCAATCCCAGGGGAGCTGCAGAAGGGGTGACCCGTCCCCAGGGACATCTGGGTGAGGGGACACTGCCCACGGGCTGCAGCACAGGGAGAGGCTGGGGACAGGAGCTGGGCAGGCCCTGCTCAGCCTGCACCTCCACCCACCTGACATCTTCTAAGAACTTGTCGAGTTCAAGGAAGGAAACCTCTGAGTACCTGGGAGAGAAAGGGGGCAGGAAGGTTACTGGGAGAGAGTCACAGAATCACAGGATTGTTCTGGCTGGAAAAGCCCTTTAGGATCCTCCAGCCCACCCATTCCCCCAGCCCTGCCCATTCCCCACTGCCCCGTGTCCCTCAGCACCATCTCCAGGGCTTGGAAACCCCTCCAGGGATGGGGACTCCCCCCCTGCCCTGGGCAGCCTGGGCCAGGCCCTGACAACCCTTGCCAGGCAGGAATTGTTCCCCAGATCCAACCTCAACCTCCCCTGGCACAACTTGAGGCCGTTCCCTCTTGGCCCAGGGCTTGTTCCTGGGGAGCAGAGCCTGACCCCCCTGGCTCCAACCTCCTCTCAGCAGCTGCAGAGCCAGCAGGTCTCCCCTCAGCCTCCTTTGCTCCAGGATCAGCATCCCCAGCTCCCCCAGCTGCTCCTCACAAGTTCTCCAGCCCCTTCTCCTTCTGCTCCAGCCCCTTCCCCAGCTCCAGGGCCCTTCCCTGGACACGCTCCAGCCCCTCCGTGTCCCTTTTCTCACCCAAACCTCACCCGAGGGTTTGAGGTGTCCCCAGTGCCCAGCACAGGGACATGATCCCTGCCCTGCTTCTGGTGGCCACCCCAGTGCTGACACAAGCCAGGATGCTGGTGGCCAAGCTGGGCACACCCTGGCTCATCTCCAGACCCTGTTGACCACCCCCCCCAGGTCCTTCTCCCCCGGGCACTTCCCAGCTGCTCCTCCCCAAGCCTGGAGTGTTGGGGCTTTGGTGTGACCCAAGGGCAGGACCCAGCAGGACAGAAGAGCCATGTGAAGGACAACAGTGTCCCAGCACCAGGATCACCAGGCTGGAGGCCAGTCCTGGTGTCAGAGCTGATCCCCCACACTCCTCACCTCCACTGTGCTCCAGGCTGGCCCCCTCTCCGTATCTCTGCCATCACCATGTTCAGGTCCAGCTCCTTTATCTTCTCTTCCACCACATTCTCTGGCATCAGATCTAGGGGAAGGGCAGAAGGGGCTGTGGGGGCTCCTGTGACACACTCTGCAGCCCAGACCCCGGGAAGCTCCGCGAGGCCTTTCTGGCCGGGCTGCTCCCCACGCGCGGGGCTCACACTGGTGGTTGATGAAGCAGTGAGCAGCCAGCAGCTTGAGGGAGTGCACCTCGAACAGCACCCGGTGGAACAGCAGGTTGTTGGCCGTGGGTCGCTTGTCCGGGTTGAGGGTCAAGCAGGACAGGATGAACTCCTGAGGGCCAAAGAGGAGGCACAAGCTGCAGGCAAGGCAGGACCTGCGTTCCCCTGCTCCATCCACCCCTGGCTCCCTCTCCTGCTCCCCAGGAGGCAGGTCTGAGGGGCTGTTTCCCCCAGCGGGCAGAGCACCCAAGGTCCAGCCAGGCTGGGCACCCACCAGCAGCCCCCCCAGGTTCCTCTGCTCCCAGCCTGCCCTCATCCAGGGAGGACACCATGTGTGCCCAGCAAAGGCAGGACCATGGGCAGGGGGGTATCCTGGCAGGCAGGACCAGCTCTGGGAGCAGCAGCCCAGCAGGAAAGGTGGTGGTAGGACTAGAACAGGGCAGGCTGAGCCAGGGATTCCCGAGGGAGGCAGGATGGGAGGGATGGACCTGCCCCTTCCTGCTCACTGGGGGCTACAGGCAGGTTCCTCTGCAGCTCCTGCAGGCTCTGGGATGTCCTCCCAACTGCTGGGAGCAATTTCTGCACAGGAGACTGCCTGGAGTGTCCAGAGGAGACCAAAATATCCCTCAGGGGGCAGCCCAGAACCCAACCCCTCCAACCACCACCAGGTGCTGGGGGCTCAGCAGAAAGCCCCTCTGGGACACCAAAGAAGGGGGCAACTCTGCATCCGAGGGGGGGGGGGGAGGACTTAGCAGGGGATGCCTGGGGGGGGATTCTGAGATCAAACAAGGGAATTTTGGGGGGGAGTGGGGGTGTATTATAGGATGGTTTGGGGACTTCTGAGGGGCTGAGGTGGGTCGGGGGAGGAAGAAGGAGGAGCCTCTCCCCTGGAGCAGCCCAGGATGGGGGGATCCCCAGGTCCTGCAGCTGCTCCCGAGGCCGGGCCGGCCGCCCTCACCCGCATGTTGGGATCATCCAGGGAATGTCGTGCCCTCATGATGGCCTCCTCCGAGACCCGCGTGTCCCCATTGGTCTGGATCTCCAGCACGGCCATCTGGGGAGGGATGCATGGAGAAGGATCTGCAGGGGGCCCCGGGCCAGGCACAGGGACACCCCCCAGAGATGGCAGCTGTTTGGGCTCAGGATCCAGGCTCTGGATCTCCTGGGCTCCCCAGGGATCCCCGGTCGCTGCCCCCCTGCACTTGGCGTTGTTTTTTGCCTGCTGCAGCCCCCCAGACTGCTCACAGGGTTGCAGGAGTGCAGGCATGGAATCCCAGATGGTTTGTGATGGAGGGACCTCAAAGCCCACCCAGTGCCCCCCTGCATGGGCAGGGACACCTCCCAGCAGCCCAGGCTGCTCCAAGCCCCATCCAACCTGCCCTTCAACACTGCCAGGGATGGGGCAGCCACAGCTTCCCTGGGCAACCCGTTCAACCTGGAGAAGCTCCTGGGGAAGCTCCCCAAGGGCCACCAGGACCCCGGGCAGGCTCAGCCAGGCCCTGTGAGCAGGGCTCTCTGCGGGTTCCCAGGGGCTGCAGAAATCCTGCTCCCTACCTCCAGCGCACACATCCCGAAGGAGAAGATGTCCACAGCTGTCCCGTCAGCCCGCTCTGCCAAACACAGCCAGGAGCACCTCAGCCCAGGGGCTCAGCACCCCCTGCCCTGGGAACAGCCCCTGCACCCTCATCCCACCAGACCCCTCTGCCCACACCCCCCTGCCCTCACCTGACCTCCCTCTGCCCACACCCCTGCCCGCTTCCCACAGCTCCCTGCACAAGTGCTTCCCATTTACTCCTCTCAAATTCACCCCAAAAGCACCAAAATGGGGATCACATTGGGAGTTTTCACACTGCACAAAGATTCTTTACTCCTTTTTCCCCAAATTGTTGTAACATTTTACAATCTGAGTGTTCCTGAGGCACCAGCTGAGCTTCCCAGGGCTGTTTGTGGTCATGCTGAGATCTCATCCCTAACCAGTAACTAGAATCCCAGAATCTCAGACTGGTTTGGGTTGGAGGGACCTCAAAGCCCATCGAGTCCCACCCCTGCATGGGCAGGGACACCTCCCAGCAGCCCAGGCTGCTCCAAGCCCCATCCAACCTGCCCTTCAACACCCCCAGGGATGGGGCAGCCACAGCTTCCCTGGGCAACCTGGGCCAGGGGCTCCCCACCCTCACAGCCCAGAATTTCTCCCTCCCATCTCAGCTCCAGCTCCCTCTGCCAGCTGGAAACCCTTCCCCCTGCTCCCATCCCTCCCTGCCCTTGTCCCAAGCCCCTCCCCAGCTTTCCTGGAGCCCCTTCAGGCCCTGGAAGCTGCTCTCAGGTCTCCCTGGAGCCTTCTCTTCTCCAGGCTGAACACCCCAACTCTCCCAGCCTGGCTCCAGAGCTGCTCCAGGCTCTGAATTCAACCCAAGCTGCTCCTGCCTGGTCCCTTCCCAGATGTTCCCAGCTGCTCTCCCCAGTGCTCATCCCTCCAACTCTACGTCCTCCCTCCCAGTTTGTCCCAGTCTCTCCTTACCACAAGTTCTCCAGCATCTCCAACTTGAACGAACTTCACAGATCGATTCAGTTGCTGCAAACACACCGTGTGTCCCTCCTAACCCCCCCTTTGGGTCCCCCCTGGGGGTCCCCCCCAGCCTCCCCGGGGTCTCCCCCAGCCCCACAGGGTCCTCCCAGCCCCCCACTCACAGCCGTACTCCGGGGGGAAGAAGTGCAGGTTGCGCTGCTCCTCCCTCTCGATCCTGATGGGGCTGCGCAGGTCGTCGGGCAGGGCTGGGGGGGGAACCTTCAGCACCGCGGCCCCCCCGGCACAGGGGGGCACCCCAAGTTTGGGTGGGGGGATTCGGGGTGTGCTCCTGCCCAACTGACCCCGCCGTGGAGCACCCGCTGCCCCCGAGCCCACCCTGCTCCCA